CCACTCTGATGGAAAAGGACTTCAGGGTCACCCATGCATCTCTTTGTCTTAAAGACAGGGTGAAGGAGGTGCACAGAGGAATCAAGGGCCCAGGGGTCCTTGGGTCAGCGTGGGTGGCCGATAGGAGGGGTTGGGGAGGTGATAGGTTAGCAGTTCGACTGCTCCAATCTTGTGACCCTGAACATTTGTTGTTATTCTAACTACACTGCAAACTACCGGGAAGTTTTAACTTTTCTTACTGTGTCTTAGTCTACGTGGAATCCATATGATGCTTTCAAGATGTCCAGGCATCTTTCCTCTCCCATAGTTGATGTCTGGCTCTGCACCATGGCTGTGGGCCTGCTTCTTCTCTGTCGGAGTGATGGCTGTTTCATGCTTGGTACGTCTTCAGGCATACTGAGATGTGACCTGACCAGGAAAAAGGACACCCATCCACCCTGCCTTAGGTGGGGCATATCACAGCAGAACCCTCCTCGTTTTCCTTGACAGAGATCTTTTTCTCATTCTTGTTTTCTCTCCTCCCTTCTTTCTCTTCCTCCATCTTTAATTTCTCTTTTTCATCTCTTTCCTCACTTCCACCTTCAGGCTACCGTGGGGACCCAAGGGGCTTTGGAGCCAAAGAGTTAGCTTACCCTCAAGAACGTGAAAGTACGGTGTGCTCATTTCATAGCCAGCACTCACTGGGCTTTTATCATGAACCACACGCCATGCTGAGTTCTTTACATGTGCTATCTTTTTTAATCTTTACAATTTTTTTTTTCCTATCAGATGGTCATTATCTATATCTTACAAGTGAGAAAGCGAAGGCCGCATAGATTAAGAAATGTACTCAGGGCCACACAGCTCACCCATGGCAGAGTGATGGCTTTCTGACTCCGAAGTTCATTTTTTGAGTCCAAAGTATGTGAATTCTCATTAGAAGCAGCCTGGATCTCTTGTCTGTTTGGCCTTTCACTCATGCTGAGCTGAACTTTCTGGATTGGAGGAACTCTCAGACCCATTTTTGTGGGTGGACATGGCCAGCCATCTCTGGGGAGGTGAACCCTTGCTGGGGGGCTTACTTGTCAGTGCAGAAGGAAGTCCCTGGGGGCTCTCTTCTCTGCCATTCCCATTATATTAGTTTCCTGGGGCTGCTCTGACGAAGTGCCACAAACTGGGGTCTTAAAACAATAGAAATTTATCCTCTCTCAGTTCCAGAGGCCAGAAGTCTGAAGCCTGCCAAAGCATTGGTAGGGTTGGTTCTTCTGGAGGTTCTGAGGGTGGAACCATCCCACACCTCTCCCCCAGCAGTCCTTGGCATTCCTCAGCTTGCAGTGGCCTCACTCTAGTCCCTGCCTCCTTGTCACATGCCATTCTCCCGTGTGTCTTTGCGTTTATCTCCTTTTCCATATAAGGACACTGATCACTGGATTTAGTGCCACTCTGATCCAGTGTAAAGTTTTTTTGTTTTTTGTTTTTTTTTGAGACAGAGTCTCACTCTGTTGCCCTGGGTAGAGTGCGGTGGGGTCATCATAGCTCACTGCAGCCTCAAACTCCTGCCTCAGCCTCCCAAGTAGCTGGAACTACAGGTGCACACCACAACACCCGACTAATTTTTCTATTTTTAGTAGAGATGGGGTCTCAGTCTTGCTCACGCTGGTCTCGAACTTCTGAGCTCAAGTGATTCTCCTGCTTCGGCCTCCCAGAGTGCTAGGATTCCAGGTGTGAGCCACTGCACCTGGCCTGGTATAAAGTTTTTAAAAAACTTTTTATTTTGAAAGAATTATAGACTTATAGAAGTTGCAAAGATAGGACATAGAACAGAGAGGTCTGGTGTGCTCTGCACCTAGTTTCTCCTAATGGTTACTTCTTACATAATTTAGAACACAATATTAAAACCAAGAATTTGACCTTAGTACTATGTCTGTGTATAGTTCTGTGTCATTTTTATCACATGTCTAGATGTACGTAGCCGCCACTGCCATCAAGATACAGAACTATTCCATTACCACAAAGATCTCCCTGTGATACTCCCTTTATGGTCCCATCTACACTCCTTGCCCCACCATCCTTAATCCTCGGCAATCAGTAATCTGTCCTCCATCTCCATAATTTTGTCATTTCAACAATGTTATATGATAGGAACCATATGCTATGTGATCATTTGAGATTGGCTTTTCCCACTCAGTACAATGCCCTTCAGAATCATTCACGTTGCACGTATCAATATTTTGTTCCTGGGCTGGGCGTGGTGGCTCACGCCTCTAATCCTAGCACTCTGGGAGGCCGAGGCGGGAGGATTGCTCAAGGTCAGGAGTTCAAGACCAGCAAGTGTGAGACCCTGTCTCTACTAAAAATAGAAAGAAATTAGCAGGACAACTAAAAATACATATATAAAAAAAATTAGCCGGGCATGGTGCACATGCCTGTAGTCCCAGCTACTCGGGAGGCTGAGGCAGGAGGATCACTTGAGCCCAGGAGTCTGAGGTTGCTGTGAGCTAGGCTGATGCCACGGCATTCTAGCCTGGGCAACAGAGTGAGACTCTGTCTCAAAAAAAAAAAAAAAAAAAAAATTGTTCCTTTGGATTGCTTCATAGTATTCCGTGGTGTGCATGTATCACAATTGGTTTGACCAATCACCTATTGAGGGACAAATTGGTTCTTCCCAGTTTTTGGCTATTACAAATAAGGCCACTGTGAACAATCATGTATAACTGCTTGTGTGGACATAAGTTCTCATTTCTTGGGGGTAAATGCCCAGGAGTACAATTGCTAGTTCATGTGTTAGATCTATTTTGTTTAGTTTTTTTTAAAGAAACGGACAAACTATTTTCTGGAGTAGTTGTACCATTTTACATCTGCACCAACAATGTATAAATGATCCGTTTTCACTGCATTCTCACCAACATTTCAGTATGGCCTCATTTTGACTCGATTCCATCCGCAAAGACCCTATTTCCACATTTGTTGAGTTGAGTATATCTTTCTGAAGGTCACACTTTCAACCCGCAACACTTATCTTCACTTGGTTGGGTCATGGTGGGTCTGGCTGCAGAATTTTGCGTTCTGAGAAGAGACTTTGAATTCATAGCTGGATTATATATGCACTTGATTGTTAAATTTGGTCCCCAGGGATGGACAAGCAAGTTCATGTCATTTGAAGGGACATTAACTTAACTCTACTCAAATCTCCAAAGTTTCAAGGATTTGATAATTAAAGAACATTCTCAAGAGGCAGAATGGCAAGGTGTCTCCCTATCCAGTTTTCCCGTGACTGTCCTTCCCCACTGCCCAGTACTGACAAGGGAAAGGAAGAGAGAGCAGGAAAACTGCGTTATAAGTTAATTGAGGGAAGAGACGCTGTGCTAGTTATTTCTGCACCCCCTTCAGAGTGTAGGCTGAGAAAGGTGCATAGTAAGGTGTGTTGCATGGGTGAGTAGCTGAGAGGGGCAGGACCAGGGTGCCCCACAAAAGGGGGGAGAGTCAAGTTGGCATTATATGTGCCCCCCCAACACATAAGCTTTCACATGTAGGTTCTCAATATTCTGTCCTTTGTCCCCTTGCCGAAGGTCTGTTTCATTCCATTTCTATATATTTGTGCTTCTAGTTAGCTAAATGGAGGAGGAGGCCCCAGGAAAATAGCATGTCTGACCCCTCTTCTGTTCAGCAACTTGAGCACTGAGAGGCAGAATAGTACAGGGCTCCGGAGAGCAGAGGTGGGCAGGTAGAGATTTGATCCCGGGCCCCCAATTTATCAGCCGTGTGGCCTTGGCCTATTACTTATTCATCTCAGCCTCTCTTATCTGTAAACTGGGTTTAAGGTGTTTCTTGATATGAACTCATTTTGAAGTATAACATATATAAGAAAAGTGCACAGGTCATAATTGTACAACTCAATACATTTTCACAAAGCATCACACCCCACCTCAAGGAACAGAACATTATCAAAACCCCAGAAACCTCTTCTTGTCCCCTCCCAGCCATCACCTCACCCCATTCCCAGCCAAGAGTAATCCCCATCCCAATTTCTAATTTTATTTTTACCTGGTTTGAACTTCTTGTGGATTAAAATGTACAGAATGTATATTTTGCATTTGGTTTCTTTTGCTTAACATTTTCTTTATGAGATTCAATCATGTTATTCAGTATAGTTGCAGTTTTGTTAATTCTCCTTATTGAATAGTATTAAACACACCACAGTTTAACAACCCATTCTACTGTTGGTGGACATTTGGGTTATTTCCAATTTTTGGCTTTCATAAATAAAGCTGCTTTGAACATTCTTGCGTATATTTTTTTGGTGGACAGGGACACAGTCATTTAGGAGTGGGATTGCTGAGTTACAGAATATGAGCACCTCTCAGCTTTATATGACCTGCCCTACATTTTTTAACCTCACAGTGTAGTGAGAATTAAATTAGGTTGTGGGAAGTACTCAGCATGGTCCTTGGCAGAGAGGAGTCCCTCAATACATCTTTAAAAATATGACGAAGGCATACTATTCCATTAAGTCCCAGTACCATGGTGGACTTAAATGTTTCCTTATTGCTTGTTCACTTAGTTTATTTTCATTGTTTTGTTATTTTATATCACATTGCAATGAATGGCTCTCTTTATAGCTATTTTTTTCTTTTGAAAAATTTGCTTTGGTAGATTCTCAGGGTATGTTGAATTGCGTCAAAGAACATGTGACTGTAAGAGTGTACAAAGGACTAGGAGGGCTTGCTAAGGAGGGGAAAACGAGGAAGCCATGGCCCGGGGGAGTGAGGTGTGAAGACAGGTGGCTTTGTGGGTTTCAGGGAGGAGTACCTTGCAGAGGACAGTAGGGTAGGGTAGGACGGAGGATGACTTTTATAAATAGTGGCTCATTTTAGAGCAACCAAATATTTAGTTCCTTAGAAGAGAAACTGGGTAATTGGAAAAACAATGTATAACAACGATTAAATGAAGAAGGAGAGAGAAATCACAGGTGCAGAGATTCACTTTATTTATTAATTTTTTTCCCCCAAGTATTAGCGTGATTGAAGCCAAGGAGGAGGAGAGGGGCTGAGGCAGGGAGAGGGGCTGGAGGAGTGCACTAGGGGTAGGTCCCTTGTGGGAAAACAGCCCATGGCCTGAGGAGGGGAGGGACCCAGGCTGGGCCTGGGAGGCCTCTGCCTCTAACACTCTTGCCTACTGAAGCTCTTGGTGAGGGGCGAGCCCAGGCTCTCATGAGTGACCTCGCAGGTAAAGAAACTGTGCAGGTTGTACTCAGTAGTGGGCAATGTCAGGGTGCTGCTGAGGCTATAGGTGTTGTCCTTGCTGTCCTGCTCTGTGAGACTGTTCTGGACATCATCCGTCCGGAGAGTACCATCCACCTTCCAGTTGACGTTGATATCTTTGGGGTAGAAGCCGTTTAGTATGCACACGAGAGTGGCACTTCCAGACTGCAACTGCTCCTGAGACGGTGGGAAGATGTAGGCAGATGGCTGAGCCTGAGATCCTGGGGAAAGAAGCACAGAGGGTGGTGTTCAAATAACAGAGAAATTCTCCACTGGGGTGCATTGTTTGTGGATGGTCGCAGAGCATTTTAGGACAGACAGAGAGCAGCATGTTTACCTTGTATAATTGTCGCAATGAGGCCAGGAAGCATATTTACAAACTCGATGATTTTGAGTTTCTCCCTAGCTAACTCCTACCCCTTAAGAAAGTTCTAAGTGGTTTTGTTTAACTCTTGGAAGCCATTCTGAGGCCTCTGCACACTTTTCTGACCTTGCCTTTCTTTCCCTCAACTGCGTTCCCTTCCTCCTGCAGCAAATTCCACACTTTAGGCAACGACACACAGGCCACTTCATCTGACCTCCTTTAGAGGCCAGAACAGGCCGTGGCCTCTCATGATGGAAGAAGACCAGGCAGCGGTGGTGTCAGGGAGAGCCTCTGTCGGTTTTCATTCCCCCCCCCGTGCCTCTCCCAGGACTGTGCTGTGACAGCAGGCTCCCCAGGGCTTCCTTTGGCTTGGCCGGGCCACATCCCCCTGCAGAGTGGGCCCCAAGCCCCGAGTCTGTGTCTGGGTGGGTGTCCGCTCCTCCGCACTCTGTGATCATGCCTCTAACTCTCCCACCCCTCACAAAGGCCTCTAAGTGAGACCCAGGCCCTGGCCTGATGCTCTGTAATCACAGGGGGTGATTTTGGGCCAGACCAGGAGGGGTCAACTGTAATCTTAGCCACCTGCCTAGGAAGAACTGGCTAACTTCACTTCTGACCTTGAGCAGCTGCCAGATGGCCTCTTAGAAATCCCCCCCATGGGGATTCAAGCCCTCAGGTGGGAGAACAAGAGTTAAAACAAAAAAATCAAGAATCTTTTTTTTTTTTTTTTTTTTTTGAGACAGAGTCTCACTCTTTTGCCTGGGCTAGAGTGCCGTGGCGTCAGCCTAGCTCACAGCAACCTCAAACTCCCGGGCTCAAGCAATACTACTGCCTCAGCCTCCCGAGTAGCTGGGACTGCAGGCATGTGCCACCATGCCTGGCTAATTTTTTCTATGTGTTTTTAGTTGTCCTGCTAATTTCTTTCTAATTTTAGTAGGGACAGGGTCTCGCTCTTGCTCAGGCTGGTCTCGAACTCCTGAACTCAAACAATCCACCCGCCTTGGCCTCCCAGAGTGCTAGGATTACAGGTGTGAGCCACCGTGCCCGGACTGAAATCAAGAATCTTTTGGTGGGAGAAGATAATGTGAACAGGTTTTCAGAAATCTCAATGTTAATGAAGCAGTTCAACAGAAAAGACTGCATTTTTGTTTGATATTTTTTTCTCTTTTAACCTTCATTTACTAATTTTTTCCAAATAATTTCATGAACTAGGCTTGACAGCAAAATAACATAATCTTTGGAAAATAAGCAGTGGAAAACATACTATAAAGATACTCTTGTCTGGGTGAATTCTTGATAGCTTTAAATTTTAAAATTAAAATATTAAACAATTAATACATTTTATATGAAAATTATTTCAACATATCTTATTAGCTTTCAGTAGAGTTTAAAACTCTTTAAAAGAGTTTTTTTTAAAGGCTCTAAACTCATTTTAAAATAGTTTAAAACAGCTAAGTAGTTTCTAATAGTTCTAAATTAGTTTTAAAAGAGCTTAAAAGGGCCCTAAAATAGTCTTATCAAGTTGTTGCAGACCAAAATAATCCTTCCCAAGTATTGCTTTTGAAATCAGCTGGGGTAAACAACAGCAGCAATAACAGATTATTAAACTATTTTAGAGGTTATGAAATTAAAATGTCCAGATTAAAATCTTTCTGTCACAGAATTAAGGTATTGGAAAATATGTTAAGTTTTTATTAATTACATTTATATATAATTAGATATTTGGTACAACTGAAATATAATCCTACACAGGCAGTTAAATTTTTGAAAATTAAAAGCATGTCACAAGTTTATCTCTTTTTTTATAAGTTAATATACCTTAATGGTATTTAATGTGATCTCAGAGTGAACTGAGTGATGTAGACCTGAGTGGCTAGATTGCTGGCATTAAATTTGATTTTTGCTGGTGCAGATTTTACCCTGAAACAGTTATATATATTTCTTTCTTTTAGATCGAGCTCTTATTATTTAAATAAATTTGATGAGTGGTTATTAAAATAATTAAATAGTACTGAAAAAAATAGCTTTAAGTTCTTTACAATCCCATAAGAGAAATTTTCATTAATGGGCTATAATAAATGTGAATTTTACTTCCGAAATCTCTAATAAATCAGCCTTTTCCCTGTTTTTTCCATGTTAGCTCAGTGCCCATCACATTTCTGTGCTCTCTCCGTTAAGCGGCATTATTTGTATCACTGTGTGTCAGGAAATCTGGCCACGGCAGAGTTAAACAGGCTAACGCGGGACCGCCGTGGCCTTTAGTGGCAAGGTGCACTGCCCCACGAATGTGGCGGCGTGGCCACAGAAGTCATTCAAACACGAAAGAAGGCCGCGGCCACGTCTACAGACCGCTGCCACGTCTACAGACCGCTGCCACGTCTACAGACTGCTAGCTCTGCCACGGCCTTCTTGGCGGAATAAAAATATGGATAACTGATAACCGAGAGTAATAAAAGAATATACTTTTTAAAATATTTGCTATTTTTCTACCACTGTGGGCATTTAAAAAATGCAATTATTTACTTTTCTTCATTTAAACAAATTTCTTTGAAACTGAGCTTTGGGGAACAACTGTCTTTCCACCATTATAATAAGAGATTATTTCCTGTTTAGTCTAATGTACAAATTGTATTTTAAAAAAGCAGTTATCTGTCAAGGCATTATCCCTATAGAATCTATCATTTTGACAGTTTATCACTCATTTTAGACTCTAAAAATGACATTGCTGGTGATTTTCTAGTAAGCTGCCTCTTCTACATGGCAAACAGGTATACTTTTAAAAATTTCTCACTTATGTCTTAGTGCATGCTATTGATTTTTATTGTTATCTTATAAAATGATTTATCAGACAAAAGAGAAAACAGACTAAGAAATATGTTTTTCTACTTTTCTATACCATATACAACGAGCAAAAACCAATACAATATTTGGCAAAACTGAAAGAAAATAAATTTAGTTTTGCCCTTTAGAACGCTGAGGGTTCCTTTTTCATCTACACTATTTTTCTTTCCCTTTGAGTCATTTCATTTAGACTAATTTAATCTTTTTGCCTCCAAACCCATTTTTGGAGCTGAGTTTAACTTTTGCAACTGTTGCTAAATTTAAAATGCTCTCATTCACCCATCTCTATAAAACTCCTGTTTAAGCAACTAAAAGTTAATAGTGGCAATTAGACCTTTGCCTTTCAGAAGGCAATAGAGAAAAATTACTTATGTTTAATCTCCAGTTGTGTCCCTTGGCGGAAGGTGACCAACAGTATTAGCTTAATTACTTATCCCTCAAAAAAACCCTTCTTTTTGCTGCTAACATCACTAGACTGACTGATACAGAGAAAATCTGGCATTTAGATGCCGTGTCACTTGACTAGCTGCTCTTCCTTGGCCTGAACTGGTTTCCAGTCCCCTACTCATCTGATTTTCTGGAAGAATCCAGTTCTCTTCGGAATTGATCTCAACTCATATCTCAACATGAAAACCCCCCAAATTTACAATTCAGTAAGAAAAAGTATTGAAAAAGGTCACTTACGTTTGATTTCCACCTTGGTGCCCTGGCCGAAAGTGAGCCACAGTAAGGACTCTGCCACTCTCCCCTCAACAAAAATCTCCCCTCCAAGCCAATCATACGAGATCGGCTAATTCAGAGAAAAATCAGCTATTTCTTTCACATTCTCCCCGCAAATCCTATTCTCCTCACAAACCCAACAATTTTTTTGTCTGCTCAATTTTTAAGTTGGCCATCTCCTGGTGTTCTATCCTTTACTTTTGGGTCACCAGGAATAGTTCATTTACCAAAAGTATCACAAACTCACACAAATGATACAATGGTACCAAAACCTCACAAATAACTGAGCACAAATGTACTTACTTTTGATTTCCACCTTGGTCCCTTCGCCAAAAGTGAATCACAGTGATTCGCCTTAACTTTTCCCTCTACAAAAAAGCCTTCCTGAAAGGGCAGTGAGTCCCCTTCCCTAGTTCAGTTATTTTGATTTAGAAATAACTGAAATTAACTTAAATACTTTTAATAACTTAAAAATTAGCCATCAGCTAGCCTCCCATGGAACAATTTCCTCTCCTGCATACCTAATCTGGGAATGAAATTTGCTATATCCCTGACATCCAACTAACAAAAACACACAAAAAGGAACAAAAAGCAAACCAATTAGACCAATTAGAAACAGTGAAGCATCAGTTGGAAAAAATACTTACGTTTGATCTCCACCTTGGTCCCGGAGCCGAAAGTGTACACACAGTGGTTCCCCTTAACCTCCCTCCTACACAAAAACCATATCCCCTCTGACAATTGAGCAAGACTCCATCCAGAACACGTTATTATACTCTCCAATTTCCAAAGCTATCACTTAGACAAGTTATTCTCACCCAATGACTGAATCTTGCTTGCTCTTCACAGAAAACACACAATCAATTCTCAAGTTTGCCTATAGACTTCAACTTTATCTTTGCACTGGAAGATGTCAGAGTCTGGTTGCAAAGAGTCAGCTTATAGACACAGAGACCATAAGACACAGACAACCAAGAAAGGAAAGCTAGGATTTTACTCACGTTTGATTTCCAGCTTGGTCCCTTGACCAAACGTCCACCACAGTGAGAGCTCTCCATTGTCTCGCTGTATAAAAACCCTTCTCCCCAAAGAGGAACAGAGCCCTGGGTCAGCTGCTGAAGCTTAACTCCCTTTTCGAGCAGGTGTGGAAGCCCTGGGTCTTTTCTGACAAAGCGTGTTTGTTTTCCTAGGTGAGATCTAAAATCCTAGAAGACTATATTTATGTCTATGAGCCTGATGGCCTTTTTTTTTTTAAGCAACTTGCCACTTCTGAACTGCTTATTGTTTATTTATTTTTTGGAAAGTAGACTGAATGTAAATTACAAAGAAAGACAAGCAAATTTTAAAAATTGCTACTTCTTTATACTTTTTCTTGGGATGGGGTGGGGAGCTTTTGCAAATGATAAGCTACATTCAACGTAATTATGGAACTCTCAGTGAGAAATAATTAAAGATTGTCTTCCTATTTGAACTTCTTGTTTGCTGTTATTTCAAAATAGGCAGCCTAAACATGTATCAAATCAAGGCCCACATCTTTGAAATGTAGTTGGGAATTTAACTATGAATGACATGTCAAACAAAAATGAAGATCAATAGAGTAGAAAAGTAGACTTTATTTGCTTGGTTGGTCTGTTTATCACAGGACAGGAAGAGCTCAGGTCTTACTGAGCTTAACCAGGTGCATGCTGTCTTTAGAGCTGCCACAGAGTCATAGCATGCCTTGATGTTTCCGTAGTAACCCCATCAAGGACACTGAAGACCTCGTTTTGAGTCCAGCTTCATTTATTGCAGTCTTCTTTATCTCTGAATCATCCATCCCCATCCCCTTCCTTACATTGCTCCCACCACCCTAAACTCCTTACAATTCTTCTATGGTCTCCAGCTTTTACAAAATATTCCCTCCACTTGGAAACACCTTTGCCCACCTAGGCTAGCCTGTGAACAGCTAATTGTCTTTCAACTGCAGAGGGACCTTCTCTCAGATTATCCCCAAGCAGGTGACCTGACTTTGCAGAGTACAGGGACAGGTCACTGGGCCTACAATGCCTAATTGTTCTTACCTGATGTCAGATTCTCTTTTACCCTACCAGATTGTGAGTGTTTTAATGTTTTATTTGTCTTTTATTGGGGAGGTCCAGCACCTTCACTTGGCAAATGCTCAGCTAACAGTTTCAGAATGAGTGAATAAAAAAAAAGAACAATGAACAATTGAAAATCGATAACAGATCAGAGGTGATAAATTATAATAGATCAAAGGCTAATATTGACCACTTTAATAGTAAGTTTTACAAGAGAAATTGTAACTGTAATTCCAGAGCTCACTGGGAGCTTTGCTAGTTGCCTTGAATAGCAGAATCAGCAGTGGGCACACTCAAAGCCCTGACTTAAGCATTAGACAAGGTATCCATGTAACAAAAACATTTGTGCCCCCTTAATATTTTGAAATAAAATTAAAAAAAAATCAGCAGTAGGTCTCACCAGAAGTTAAGGAAAGAAAGGGATCAAGTCGGAGGTAGAGAGAAGAGAAAAATTGGCAAGTGGAATGTAAGGTAGTGTATAAAATAGCTGTACCAATTTTGGAAAAAAGTAAACTCTGACACTGCCTAGCAGCATTCTCAATATTCCTGTGCAATGTGTAAATATAACTTTTTAAATAGTATATGCACACATGCATGAGTTTTGTCAATTAAATTCTTTTGTATAATCTTTAAATTGAAAGTGCCAAAAAAGTAAGAGCTGTTCTAGTTCTGCACAGGAAATACTCTTTCACAAATGTAGGAGATGTGGGGGGAATAGAACATAGGATTGAAAAAGATGGCCTGGCTATACAAGGGATACATGTTCCTAAGTGAGTAAATTGGAGATATAGTGTGGACAGTGCAACCGAATGACTATTTTAAAGCAGTACTTGTTACTAATAAAAGATTATTATAAGAACCATTACGGCAAAAACCATTTTACTGATCACACACAGTGGTGATCTATAGTAATGGTTGTTGTGATGTTTGTTGTAACATAAAATAGATTGTGGAGAAGTGGTTGAGATTCTTAGTGTATGTGTATTTTGTTATTTGAAAGCAAAGGATGTCTCAGAAGCATCTGCGAGGCTCCACTAGGATCTACCATTCTACAGTGTTCATGATGGACATTGATAAGATTAATTTATTGAGGAAAGCAAAGTGTCAATAAGACAGTCTGAGAGGTTCCTGGATGTAATGTATAAAAGTGATGGAAATAGAACTTCCTAGGGAGCATTTCAACAAACTCACCACCGAAGCTGCTTTCCACCTGACCCTCAGCAAAGTTAGATTTTCAGAATAAATTCTAAACTGCTGTGGAGAGGAGACAGAAGGAGAGGGAGGGAGAGAGGGAGGGAGAGAGGGAGGGAGAGAGGGAGGGAGAGAGAGAAAGAGAGAGCGAACGCACCTCAATGCACATCTATAAATAATCCTGAAAACTGCTGATAAGCTATCTTAGTTAGGAATGTTCCCCAGATCTCAAATTTTAAGAAACATCACTTTTCGCTTTTTATCTGACATAATTAAGAGCCTATTTGGGGAGGTTCCCTTCACATCAGTAACATACAGCAAATTACCCAGTATGTCAGGGGACACAATGGCAAAACTTTGCCCTCTGCAAGGTTTGAGTGATGGTGGCTTCCCTACCTGGCTCTGAAATACTTGTATCTGATATCCATCTTCAAGTTCAAAATTTTTTTCATCAGTCATGGTGGAGTCCAAAGAAGGTGATTCTTTTTGCTGCAGCCTGACTTCTCCTTAGGATTGCACCTCTGTCATTTTCACTCCACGTGTGCTGATATCGGAGGCAGAGAGGAGGAAATTCTGTCATTCACATCCAGGGATGCTCAGAACCTGATCAATTGCCATTCTTCCAGCTATAGTGTCATGAGTGGATATTCGTCCTGGGTCCCCAACGGGCAAAGCTGGCTCATTATCCAGGAAGGAGGGAGTCCGAGGAGGTTGCTTAAGAAACAGCTGTTTCTTTGCTGCTTCAGAGTTGTGTCTGTTTCCTCTCATCTCTGAAGAAAGACAGACATACTGGCAGAAGCAAAGTCCTTTGCCTGGCCATGGGCAAATGTGTGGACCATAAACATGACCCAGGATTCTGGTCCCACTCTGGAAAATGTAGATGCTCACCTTGTTTTCAAGAGGATGGTAGGGCTGCAGGTATTTTTTGACTTCCTTGAGCAAAAGAGAAGACAGCAGGAACTGTGTCGGGGTTACTACCCTTGGAGGGGCTCAGCCACCAAGATTTACATATTGGGTGCTGTGGTTTCCGACTCGTTTTGCATGAGGGATGAGCCCCTCATGCTCTGCCCTGGAGCTCCCTGCCCTCCCCACCTGCCTGCTCGGCACCCACCCCTGTGTTCTTGCTCATCTTATGGCAGAGAAACTCATCGTGGGCAACTATGGTGGTCGGGCCAGCTCTGGATGCAGTTGTGCCATTGATGAGTTTGGACTTCGTTTTTCAGACCCCCAAATGCCCTGATTATCCTGGCTGAGGCTAGAGTTCCAAACCTAAGAGACAGGATAGGAAGAGGGCAGACCAACAGAAACCAACAAGCAGATTAAAACAAGGAATAATGTCAAGAAGATATACAGATATGAAACACTTTTCAACTCATTTTCTGAACTGGCATAACTTTGATACTGTAACTAGTCTAGAGTGTCATCCACAGAAGAAATCTAGGACCACTTCAGATTTCAAGGGATCATCTCTATTCCTCGAATCCTAAATCCAATAATTTCATGGCCTTTTTAAATAAAGTGAAGAGAAAGGGTAGAGATTTATTCTACCCTTTATCAATTCTTGTAATCTCCTGGGTGGGACTCTGGAGAAGTATTATGCTGAGAAGCAGGTGTCAAAATCAATAACAGAAACCCAGAGGAGTCAGTCCATCCAATGTAAGACATAGGTACCAGGCCACATCAACCTGGAGGCAAAACTAGGATCAGAAAAACAACCACACAGCAGGTCCCTGGCCCTTTTCCACCTAGGATACCATAACTTCAATCCCATGAAAAATAATATTCTCCACATCCCTCATTATTTCTTGGATTTCAGGGGCATACTTCAAGAGCTTGCATTCAACATTGTGCTCTCAGTGGCCAGCAAGTGCCTGGCATAGGGTGAGTTGGTCAATAAATGAATGAAAGGAACAAGGATCGTTCAGCAGCCACCTGTCTGGCACTTGCTGTTTTCTCCTTACCTCCTCAGGCGTCGTCTAGTGGTCAGCCTAGCTAGTTTCTGAAGCCCTGAAAACTGTGTGTGATGGTGGTGGTGCCTTAATGTAGGATTGTCTCTGGCTGTAGCTGATTTTGGCCTTTTGATGTTAGATTGGATAGGAAAAAGACTTGGTGCTTCTTTGGAGGAGTTTTGTGGGCTTGCAGACTGTTTGAACTGGAAGAGACAAACCATGTCTACCTCCATTCATTAGAAACAAAAAAATCGGGTCCCCAGGGGAGGAGGTGATTCACTCAAGGCTACACAGCTAGGGAAGGACTGTGCTGGAAGTGGAGCCAGTTAGTGTGCTTCCATTACATTTCCTGAGGCGCTTGGAAAAATCTTTGAAAACTGAAAAATTATTTGCACAGTTGTCACCTCCCTGCCATCCCCCCACCACCCTCCAAGTCCAAGGGGTTGTTAAATCTGCCATCATAAGACCACTTCAAACTCAACATCACCATCAACGAGTAAGATCATAAACCAACATTTCTAGGATACTCCAACCAGCAGGAGCAGAATACACATTCTTTTCAAGTGCCCTTGGAAATATATGAAGATTATAAAATACTGGGCATATAACAAACCTCAACAACTTCGGTAGAATTGAAAGGATACAGAGTGTGCTCTCTGGCCACCTGGAAATCAATAACAGGAAAATAATGGGAACAATTATAAACCCTTGCAAACTAACAACACACTTCTAAACAATCCCTGGGAAGTTTCAAGGAAAGTAAAAAATGAGATACTGAAAATGCAACATATCAAAATTTGTGGGAAACAGCTAAAGCCCAAAGAAATGAACACTTATTCTAAGGAAATGAAAACTTATGTACATATAAAAATGTATATGGTACACAATTATTCATAGAAGTTTTATTTGTACTAACAAAAAACTGAAGGTCAGGCGTGGTGGCTCATGCCACCTCATGGGAGGCAGAGACAGGAGGATCCTTTGAACCCAGGAGTTAGAGGCTGCAGTGAGCTGTGATTGCACCTCTGCAGTCCAGCCTGGGTGACAGAGCGAGATCCTGTCTTTAAAAAAAGATAAAACAAAATAAAACAAAACTGGAAGCAGTCAAAATGTCCAATAATACCGTGGTCCCCAGCCCCCTGGCTGTGGACCGGTACCAGTCAGTGGCCTGTTAGGAACCTGGCCACACAGCAGGAGGTGAGCGACAGGTGAATGAGCGAAGTTTCAGCTGTATTTACAGCCACTCCCCATGGCTCACATCACCGCCTGAGCTCCGCCGTCCCCCAATCTGTGGAAAAATTGTCTTTCATGAAACCGGTCCCTGGTACCAAAAAGGCTGGGGATCGCTGCAATAGATTCACAATAAAACAAGCTGTGGTACAACCATCGCATGGAATACTAATATTAAAAAATAATGAACTGTGGATACACACAACAACTTGGATGGATCTTGGGGCATTGCACTGAGCAAAAAGGTCACATACTGTATGATTTCACTTACATAACATTTTTGTCATTTCAAAAATGTTACAGAAAGGTATAAAATTTTATAATTTTGATAAAATTATACAGTAGTGGTAGGCAGGAGTTAAGGGTTGTGGGGCGGGTGCAGAGAAATAGATGTGACTTTAAACCCCTAGTTAGTTTAACTAACTTGTTAACTAATCTGGAGTCACACAGCTGGAGGCAATGTGACCCTAGAGCCCACACTCCTGCTAAGCTATTCTGCAGTAAACGTTCTTGAATGTGTCTTGTATATATGTATATGAACACTTCCTTACTGTATATAGATGGAACGGGAGCTTCTGGTTTGCAGGGTGTGTACATTGTTCAATTTAAAAATTGGCCCCCGATTGGTGTATTAATTTAAATTCCCACATTTGCAATGATAGGTCCACCATAGAATTTCCTTTCTCCATGTCCTCTCCAATACTTGATATTTTCCAGCTTTTTCATTTTTTTGCCAGTCAAAAGGGTAATAACTTGTAATTCATTTTTGTTTTAAACTACATTTTTGCATTTCCTGATAATTCATGAAGTTGACCATTTAAAAATGTTTATTGGCCATTGGGGTCTCATCTGTTGTGAATCGCCTGTTCCTAAGATATGCTCACTTTTTATCAAGTTGCTTATTTTTCTACTGGTTTAGAGAAGTTCCCATTCTTTCTCCTCCCTTTTTTATTTCTTAATAACGGAATCCCAGTTTTGTACAGCGCAAGTGTCTCAGCCCCAAATTGAATTTCCCAGCTTCTCTGCAGTTAGGGCTGGTGAGACATAATCTGAAATCTGTTGTGCATTTCTGGGAAAATTTTCCTTTATTGTCAGAGGCACTGCTGCTCATTTCTCCTTTGTCTTCTTTTTATTATACTTCTGCCTGGAACACGGTAGAGGATATCTTGCAACATTTAGGATGCAAGTCACAGGCTAGAGTGGAGGAGCAGGAAGAGGAGGGACCTAAGTCCTGCTGCAGCTGCTCTAGGTCTGAACCACCTGTGCCCAGACTCAGGCTCCATGAGAAAAAAGGCCCCCCTTGTCTGCTTAAGTGCTTTTATGTTGGATTTCAACTACACACAGATGAATGAATGCTGAGTAATGGATACAACTTTCTAATATTTTCTCCTAAGAGTTTTGCTTCGAGGTTTATAAGTGAGTTTGTTCTATACATTTCTTCTTCATTTTCAGTTTTTGATTTTGGCTTCAAGATTATCCTAGCTCTGTGAAATGATTTATGTTTCTAAATAATAGTTATTTACCCTCTTTCACTATTCCCTGGAAATTTTTTTTAAAATATAGGAGTTTTTTTGTTGTTAATTTCTACCCCACTTTTTTAGGTTTTGGTAAAACTTAACCATATGTTTATCTAGACCTGGATCTTGATTTAAGCAAACTTTCTGTAAAAACACTGTTTGGAAACAATCGAAAAAGTTTGAATAGGAAGTGGGCCTTGGATATTAGGAAATCACTCTTAATTCTGCTAGAAATTATAGTGGCATGGTGGTTATCAGTTAGCAATGTATTAATGATTGGCTTAAAAATCACTTATGTGGGTGGGAGGCAGGTGAGTTGCAGAGAGGAGCTGGGTGGAGGAGGTAGTTGAAACAAGATTGGAAAAATGTTAATTTGTGAATCTTCAGATTTGTTATACTATCTGTGTATCTCTTTAAATGGTTGAACATTTCTATAAATGTTAAAAATAAAAATAATTAAAAGAAAAGTCTCACGCTGCTGACTGTGACTGTCACACTCTGTCAGCATATGGTAGTGTTGTACAAGCCAGGAGCCTACATAGGCCTGATGGCTCATTGGGCTTGCTAGGTAACAAAAACAATGACACAGTATAAACCAGGTCAGATTTTATTGCTGTTAGACAAAAGCTCATGGTAAGATTTGCAGAGCCAAGAACGTGTAAAGAGTAATCTTAAATTATTTTTAAAATTCTAAGTGATTTATTAAAGTCTTACAGGGAAGTTGGGTAGAAA